CTTCAGTATGTGAGGAATCCAGATATCCACCTCAGGTGAAATAGAGTTATATGGGAGGATTTCCTCCCTTTAATGAAAAGGGAGATTATCAGCAAGCATTTGAAGCACGGGGACTATCCAATAAGCACCAAACATAAGAAGAATTGTGATCAAATGTCAGAAGTGGGTAATGCTGGACATGAGCAAAGGCAGATAATTTCTGCATATCACATTTTCTAGTGAATTAATTTGGCAGCATTCCCAGACCTTTTTTATTCACTTTCCACTTTTAATTAAGTAGTCAAACTTTACTGGAATAGGCCAATGTAGAAAGCCAAGTATTCTGAATACCCACAGAAAGAGTTTTTATTTCTGATGAATACTCACTCTTGTTGTAATCTTTCATACGAGGTTTATGCGAACACTTACCACGAGCCAGCTCTGCTCAGTATGATAAATAGATGTACTCATAGAGGTTTGAAAAACAAAGACATTTTAAGAGACTCTCCAAATTGCTTTAATAAAACTGCAACAACCTTTTAAGAGCAGAAAAGGAAAACACAATGGAGGGAAGGACCGATGCACCAGTCAGCCCACCATTTGCCATTTTCTAAAGCACAGGTCTTCCTCTTATGAAAGGAGAATTAATTCTCAGGGTTTTGTTTTCAGTCTCTCTGATATCTGTCTTCAACATGAGGAATCCTAGAAGAGCCTGCACAACACGTAGCCACAGACAACCACGGCCTCCAAAGCCACTGGTGAGGATACCTGGTGCCTGACAACCTGGACAGAGTCATGCAGAAGAGACCAGCTCCTGGCTGACTGGAGAGCAAACACTTTGCCCTGTCACATTCCACAACCCACGACACATCCAAACACTTCTTAGAACAAGCTGGGAAAACAAGCAACAGTGTTGAAAGGGACACAGGAAAGTAGGAGAGGGGTAGAAGCTGTGGAACATACAGGGAATAATAAGGATGAAAGGTGAAAAGAGCAGTGATCATTGCACTGTGTGAGGCATCAGAGACACTGCATTAGAGAAGGTGTTGATGGAGTGAAGATTTGAGCATCCCACACACAGTCCTATCAGATATCCCTGCTCCTGACATAAACAGAACTGAGAAAAGCAGAACATCATCTGGCTTTATTTTAAACTGGCCCTGTGAAAGGTATCAGAAAACCTTCTCTGCAGCACAGCACCATGAGAGATGGGCAAGACAGCCTTGAGTCTCTGACTCTCTTGGATTTCACAGTGGTTAACTCAAGAGCTCTCTACACCTCAGAGAGTTCCATGTTTTTTTCCATTTAGCTTTTACCTCAGATATGGATACTTCTCGAGAGATCCACAGTCATGGCACCAGCAAGCTGAAGACCTAAAATGCCAACTAAAGCCAATAAAGCCCATGAGTCACAGTCTCAGGGGAATCAGAGCTACTTGGCATATACCCAGAGAAGGTCAATTGGAGCATGGGGAGACTATTTCTAAATACCCCAGAGCTTTGCCACTGGGAAAAATAAATAGAACTATGTATCTTGTTTCCACATCTTAGCAAGCTAAATAAATAGCTCTCACAGGGCACTCTCCAGGGCAGATTCTTAAAGTGACCTTGGCCCTGCTGCTGCCCAGGACAGGGGAATGGGGGTGTGCCCACCAAAGAAGTGGTGCATTTTCAATGCTGCATTCCTGGCAGCTGATCAGAGAGGCAGGGTAATCTCAGCTCCCACAGTTGCCGGCTGTTCCTTCCCAGCAAAAAGGCAAACCATGGTGGCACATAGTTATGAGGTGGAGAGAAGGTATCAAGAACAAATACAAAGTGAGAGTCAAAGGGTTTCTGGGACAACGTTGGAGTTTTCCTCCTAGGCAGGTTAGAGACTGGTGCTGCCTACAACTTCCATACTGATAGCCAAAAAGAAGAAGATGTTTTTTGTGACCAAGAACCACACCAAAACACCACACTCCCAATTTCAGCATAGCCACAGCCACTTTGGGAAGAGCTGCACCAGTGCCAGATAGCTGGGAGCACATGCTGAGCTAGACAAAGAACATGACCCTTTTATATCCTCTCTCCTCAGCTCAGAAAACTCATCCATAAGCTCTTTGTCCCAGGCACCCCACAAATTTTTAGCTAGAACAAGTCAAATCACGGAAGGACACTTTCCCCACATGGACCCACTTCCATTTTCTGACAAACTGCAAAGATGCTTAGGGCTTTCAGACTGCAGCTATTTCCAGGCACTTGCTAATGCTGGGAGAGAAGATCTGTAACCCACTGTATAGTCTGTTCTGGTCTCAAGACCTAAATTCTTATCAATAATATCTCCTAAAGCCACTTTCCACAATGAAAGCAGCACTTCTAAGTGAACTACAAACAAACAGAAACTAGTGCCTTTTAATGGGTTGCAGTTGTGTTTTAAAACAAAACAGGTCTGTGTGGTTCTTCTGATGTGAAACAGGCTGTCTCCACTGTGCCACTGAGCTTCTCAGCTGCCCCTAGTTATGAAACAAAAAGACACAGCTCTGAGCCCTGGGCAGTCCAGCTGAGTGGCCACCAGGCTTGAGATGATTTATGGTTCCTGTTCATCAGATCAAGAGTAGCTGGGAGCCAAATCACCTTTTCCTGTGAGCTGGGTTCAGCAAAGATTGTATGTGCCTTTTGCACACTCATGAAAAATATGTTTTAAGAAGAGCACAAATATTTTAGAAAAGAAAATTAGGGAACTGAACTAGCAGTGAGAGAGCTCAGATAGACAAAAGTTAATGTACAACACACCTTTTTTTTAAATGAGAAACAAATTCAAGCTTTTCAGTAATAAAAAGGCTTATTAGCTATAAAATGGAATTTACTGACAGAAATTTCGAGTTTGCTTTTCTGGTGTTTGGGTCTGTATTCCACATGGAAAAAAAATTTCCACAGAAGAATTCAAAACAATTCTTGTGCACCAGATACAAGGAAGTAAAAGCTAAATATTGCATATTGACAATGTGGAATCACTGAAATCAAAAGCAGCATGTTTCTCTGATTGTTTCCCTTAGAACTGAGTATTTTAGAGCACTTTACAGACTACATTTACAGCAACTCTCAGCAACACTCCCTGCATCTCCAAATGTATCTCAGCAAGAAACCAGGCTAGAAAGGTGTGAGAGATACCAAGGTTTCCAGTCAAAATAAAGCACTTTTGCACAAAATTCATTTTAAAAACCTTTAGGCAGCCAGTCCTATTGCTTAACAGAAAACTGATACAGGCCCAAGTCCCATCACACACAGATCCTGGCCTACCACTGAAGCAGAACTAACACTGTTCTAATCACAGCCAACACTTCACAGGAAGGAAAACAGGGAATTCAGTGGAATTTGCTTAATTAAGCATGGTCTTGGACCCATCAATCACTTTTGGTTGCCTCAGAAGCCAAGCCCAGCTCCAGGTCTAACTCATCCTGGGCACTCCTGTCATACATAAAGCAGCTCTCCAGGCTGCCTAAATCTTAAAGTTACTACATGAGGGCTGAGGGGAATCTTGAAGGATGCTCAGATATCCTAGGAATAATATCTTAGTGGTAGTATTCTTAGAGTTGGGTAATATCCAAAAGCTCTGTATAGGAAACATCCTGGTATCCCCACGTAGAGGAATCTCAGGTACTTTGTCTAAGAGAGAACTGAAGCTGTGAAGCAGTTCCAGGTACTTGGCACTGTGCTAGAAAGCCAAAAGCACAGGCAGAAGTGACTTGGCTCCCATGAACAAAGCAGCTGCAGGAAGCTGTGCATCTGCTGAGCCCCCTAACTATCTTATTTAGAAAAGCAAACTTTAAAAAAAAACTGTGTATCTCCAGACATGTAGGCAGAGGAACAGGAAGAAAGCTGCACTTAGCAAACAACAGTACTGTGTGTTGATGTGCAGCTCCAGCACTGGTGGCTGGTGCAAATTAATTCAGATTCCTTACCAGCTGTTGTGTTGTGTGATATTGAGAGAACTCGTACCAGTGTTTGATGATAGCAACAGGATGGACATGATTTAATGCATCCAGGGTCACTGGCCTCCATTTCCAGCTAAGCAAACAGTGACCAAACTGCTGAGCTGTGGCTGTCCATCCTTCTCACCTCGTGCTCTACCTGAAGCTGCTTCCTCAGTAATCACCAGCCATGGGCCTCACCCATGTCAGGTCCATGCAGAAGCCACAATTAGCTGAATGCTGCTGTCCTTGCTGACACATGCCTGAGCAAGCAGGGGCAGTGCCCCACAAGCCATTGCATGTCTCAGCAGGAGAACTGGCAGGCTCTGTGTGGCTTAAGCAAATGGGATTGTGTGGGCACAGCTCACAGCAGCAAATTCTTCCTCCTGCTTTTAAAGAGCAAGCCAGAGATACTGGCGTGTTTTGCCCTTCTGATACAGATGTTTTCTCTTACAAAGTTTGCCTTGAAAGGCACCTGAGGAAGTGGTCAGAACAGACAACCTGGGGACTAACATTCAGCATTAAGACGAAGACATAAAACGGACTTGATGTCTTCAGAAAAGAACTATTTGAAATATGTGGGATGGGCTTAAAAGCAGACGCAGATTAATACTAGTAAGAACTGTCATACTTCAAAAATATCATGATGACCAGGTCATGACTCCCTGCAAATGGAGGATGAGGCAGCACTGCCACGATTCCACTCTACCTACCCCCAGGCTGTGGTGGCAGGAGGTTCTCGCTGAGTGGGAGGCAGGAGTGGCTTGTCTGCTGCTAGCACATGCTTCTCCAAACCCAGTTGTGGCTGGGAAATGAAGGAAGGTACCTTGCAATCAAACTGCCATCGCTGTCTAGGGCACACTACAAATAAAGGGCCACCAGCATGAATCATATGATGAATCACAGCATTAACGTGTCCTTCAGGGAACTATTTCTGCCTCTTAAAAAACCCTGCAGATTTAAAGTGAGTGGAAACTGCATACATTTCCGATTTCTTTGCCTCTTCAGGTGGAACCAAAATTTTATTTCTTGCTGTCCTGGAAAGATGAGTTCCCTTGGGGCTACTGCCTACCTGACCGTCCTGACGTGTCTCTTGCTGTAGGGAGTGATGACTTTGAAAAGCAGCTCCATGGCTCCATTGATGCCAAGCATAGTTCCCGTGGTAACTATGGCAATAAAAGGGAAAAGCAGTCAGCTCTGAAGCAGGCAGCTGGCAAACATTGCTTAGAAGAGATGTGGGGAAGAGTAGCTGCCCCTGGGGCTATGAACTCTCTGGCATCCCATCTGGACTCCAGAGGACCCCTAACAAACACAGAAAGTGAAGCACAAAGCTGTCTGTGGACACAACCTGAGCCAAAATCAGGTGTGAACCAGTCCTGCAGCTCCTTCACAATTTTCCAAAAGCCCCCTGACCTGTAGACATTGTACTCTCCAGAGAACAAATCCTAATTAAACAGGGTCTTCTCCCAGAAAAAAAATGACAGAGCTCAAATTCATCCCACATTTCCTACATGCAACTCACTGAGGGTAGTTCATTTCATAGGGGCTTATAGGACAGAGTTTTCCTTCTGTGCTATCATTCAGCAGAGTGGAAGTGGGTTTGGGGGGTTTCTGAATGCAGTTTAATTTAATCCAGGCCAATTTTCCCTTTAATTCTTCACTTTTTAACACACCAGGAAGTTTTATAGATAGATTTTGCAATCAGTTCCAATACCCAATGCATAGCCTAGGTGTTTAGCCAGACCTCCCCACTATGAGACAGGATATCTCTATGTAATGAAGGAAGAAAAACAGCCCTGAAATATTAAATGGAAGCAACCAAGGTGAAAGGATCAGTAATCAACAGCAGGCAGAAGGAGCCCTGGCTGCCTGCCCACTGCTGGGTTTTGGCTGTTTTGTAGATATCTCCCAGTGGTCATCAGAGAGCTGCCAGAGGGCCCATCATCTCCTGCTGTCCTACTGTGTCCCTGCCAAGCTGTCCTGTGATGGAAAGCCTTGCAAGGCCTGCCAGCTACATTCACACTGCTTGGCAATTCATTAGAGACAGGGTGGTGGACAAGGCTGCTCGAACTCATCCTGCTCCAGAGCAGGATGTGGGCAGCCACAAACATCTGGTGGCAGTGAAGAGAGCAACCCAGAGTGGGGCATGAGGTGAGACAAGGACTCATCTTCATTGTTTTCATACCTAAGCACTCTCAAGAGTTTTGTATGGTTTTGGCTCCCCTTAAGTTACACTCTATAATTTTTAAGGTCGGGAACATGTAATCCCCTGGTCTGATATCACACCCACACAGATTTTCACCTAACTTCCCCTGAAGCTTCCCAGCTGGGCCACAGAACCCACGACATTAAAGTTATTAATGAAGAGTACTGGAGATACCTGGAGAGTAACAAAGATGCTCCAGGAAAGGTTCAGAGCTGAGGTTCTGAGGTCTGACATTAACAGAAAGGAGGCCAGGCTGCTGTGTGCACCCTGAAACCTCTGCAGAAACAGCAGCTGAACTGAGTGCAGGTGCACTGAAGCAGGGAGCAGGGAAGTGGGCAGATCATCATTTTGGGTGAGGGGCAGCACAGGGTCACTGCACAGCTGTGAACCCAAATAAAGGAACATTTCATCTTCTGGCTTTGGCTGCATTTTCAGCCACGCTCAGACTTTCAAATACTGCTTATCACGGGGAGAGAGGTTGAGTGTTGAGGCTTGGCTGCTTGCCTGAGGAAGCCCAAAGCATGAAGCCAGCTCCTGTCCAGGCAGAAGAGACCTGCAGGAGAGCTAAATCTCAGGATGCACATAGCAGACTGCAGACAGGATGGCCATCAAGAATTATCTGCTGGGTGAGGGATGTAGGGAAGGAGAGGAAAGGGTTAGAGTGAGCAAAGGGAAATTTGTGCTGATGAGCTCTGTGCTTTATAGCACGGAAAGCCGGTATGAATCTGTAATGATCCCGAGAGAGAATACTGGAAATCCCATTGCTTGAATCATTTAACATGAGGGCATTGCCAAGCAAGAAAAGCTGGGAGAGTGCACATCGGAGGGGATACTAGTCAAAAGACCAGGATCCAGCATTTGCTTCCTGGGAGACCTTGAATAAGTAATAGATTTCTCTCTCCCTCTGCTTCTCCACCCTCATGGAGCTGCTCTGAGGATCAATACAATCAACAATAGTGAGACATTTGGCTGTTATGGTAATGGGAATTGTATAGAGACTTAAGGTACCCAAGTCTCAGAGCAAAAGAATTGACTGTCTATATTCCAGAATACGAGATCTTTGCCATGAATATTTTTCACTACAGCACCTTTATTTCCATAGCTCGCAGATGAAATGTACTTTAAAGGCTGCATAGGCCCCTCGAGGAGCACCTTTTTCTAAGGTTGTTCTGGCTTTTGTGCTTTTCTGTATATTAATGGTGCATGCAGGCACTAACCCTACCAGGAATAATGTTTCTTTGCATCGAAATGGCTAAAAAAGAACCCTGGTGGTTGTCACACAGAATAAAAGAGGAAAATTCTGACACTCACCATTAGAAGCACAAACCTGCAGGACCCAGAGGCAGTGGGTGAGGTGCAGGTGGTGGCCCAGGTGTCTTCTTGCCAAGCTCAGTATTATATCAGTGGCTTCTGCCTTCTGCACCTTAAGCCCAAACTTCCTATCTGTGAAAAGCAAATGAGAATTAACTATTTAAAACTACTGCAAAGGCCACGTCATTGCAGCTGTGCTGCTGAACATACATTTATTAAGTCTTGTAACTCAAAATCTTATAAGAAAGGCATTCAAATGTTTTAATGAGTTAAACCAATATTAATCTCACTGGAAGGGGGTTTACTTTGAGTCACCATATATGAAACATAAAATAGTCTGGACTGAAAAAGACCTTTAAAGGCCACTTAGTCCAAATCCCTTGCAATGAGTTGCACCAGACAAGGTTGCTCAGAGCCCTGTCCAACCTGACCCTGCATGTTTCCAGGGATGAGGCATCCACCACTTCTCTGGGCAGACTGTGCCAGTGCCTCACCATCCTTATAATGAAATATTTCTTCCTTACATCTTATCTAAACCTATCCTCTTTCAGTTTAAAACCATTACTTCTTGTCCTGTATCACAGTGGAACTAGGTTGGAAGAGACCTCCATGATCATCAAGTCCAACTCACACCCTAAGACCTCAACCAAACCATGGCACCAAGTGCCACATCCAGTCTTTTTTTAAATACATACAGGGATGGTGACTCCCCCATCTCCCCAGGCAAAGGATTCCAATATTTTATTACTCTTTCCAAAAAAAACTTCTTCCTAATATCCAACCTGTATCTCCTTCAGTGCAGTTTGAGACTGTGTCCTCTGGTTCTCTTGGTTGCTGTCTGGTGAAAGAGATCAATTCTTACCTGACTACAGCCACCTTTCAGGGAGTTGTAGAGAGTGACAAGGTCACCCCTGAGTCTCCTTTTCTCCAGGTTAAACATCCCCAGCTCCCTCAGCCGTTCCTCACAGGGCTTGTGTTCCAAGCCACTCACCAGCCTCCTTGCCCTCCTCTGGACACACATATCAACAAGCCCTACCAAAATATCTGTCCCCTTTATCTACTGGAAGGCCACAACGAGGTCATCACCCCCCTGACCCCAGCAGCCCCCCAGCCCAGCAGTACCTCGTTGGCCCACCCTGGCCAGCAGCCGCAGCAGGGGCAGGAGGGTGCCGTGGTCGGGTGGCTCTGTCCGTGCAGCCGTGGCCAGCGCCTGCAGCAAAGCCTCGCTGCCCCCTTTGCTGACCACGTAGTGAATTCTCCTTCCAGTGCCTGGGGAAGACAGGAGAGATTGCTCAGAGCATCCCTTCCCTGAGCCACAGCTGACACAAACCCTCGGTGCAGGGAGCACACGGAGCTTCCGTGGCCACCAGGCGATGTTTGAGTGCCATGAACGCACGAGCCTTTGCAGAGCTGCCCATGGAACCAGGACAGTGGCCGTGGATCCCAGGATCCCGTGGAACAAGTGTGCTCTGCTGCCTGTCACCACGACAGTCCTTGCCTCTCCAAACCCACGTGCTGCAGAAGTTTTTCACTCTGCATTGCAATGTGGCAGAGAGGAATAAGCAGAGACACCGACAGGTTTCAAAGCAGCAAAAGGCTCAGTGATCTTTTCTTAGATACTGGAAATTAAACAAGGAAAGAACTAAAGCTGCACTGGGCTTCTGCCAAATGAAAAGGAATCCTAGGGAAGCCTTGGGGACAGCTTTCAAATAAATGTAGGTCTCCAAAGAAACCACACTCTAACCCTGAGAGCCTTACTGTGTTAACAAACATTGATCCAGGCTCCGTGGTTGGGGGATGCTGCTCGCTCAGCTCCTAGAGGAGAGCAGGACCCTCTGTTCTCCATCCTTGCACCCAGCTGAGGAACAGGGCTGCAGGGATCCAAAACACAGCCCCAGATGGACAGGAGATGTCTCTGGTAGGGCTTCCAGGAGTGGGGGAACCAGGATGAATCAGCTCCCAGAGCCTGGCAGCTTAGTTGGCTTCAGAATTGTTAAGCAGATAATATTTTTGTGGAGGGGCAAAAAGGAAAAGGAACTTGATTTTTTTTTTCAGTTCTTTTGCCAATACACTTATTTTTTTCGTGCAGCTTTGAGCACATAAAGCAATATCCATTCCCTGCAGGCCCAAGGTAGAAGTGCCTTTTGGAGAGAAGCTGAACTCTCTACTTTAGAGGGTCCCTGGGCTCTGAAAAGTCAGGTTCCTTTCCCTGTCTCTCAGTTCCTCTCTCCAATGGCACTGGTGAACATTTCCAGTGGTTGACTGCCAGGGATTATGAAATACTTTGCAACCCATGGGCATCTTCGAAAATAAAAAGAAAAAATTGAAACTTTCTCTGAGTCTCTTTTTCTTTTCTTTAAGACATAGCATAAGCTCAGTTTTCCAAACACAGTAGTAAGGACTGCTGATCTATAATTTATTTTTTTTTTCACCTTGCAAACACCTGGTCTAGTTTAAATGCAAGTATGAATTCCCTGACTTACTTGAGGACTCCCTTTCTGCCCTAGCCCACAGCCATTGCCCCAAATCTTTGCTTCCTTACCCAAAGACAGCAAGTCAGTGAGGACACTGAGAATGTTCAGGATGACATCCTTGTCATGGGAGCTCTGGAATGGAAACACACCAAATTGATGTATCAGTTCACAACAGGACACTCTGTGCTGCACAGGGCTGCAGTGCATCATGCAGTGCAGAGGTACTGAGATCCTTGTTTGGACACTGAGCACTTTTGTGTCGTCTGGACAGTGAATATGTGGAAACACATTAAAAACACATTTTAAAAGCCTCTAACATATACTACACAGTATTTAATACACAGTAGCATTTCTGTAGAACTTACATCTAAATTCTAAACTAAAGCTCTTTTTTTTTGTTTATCTGGCTATCTCAAAGTTGAGGAAATTCTGTATCACATAGACATGCTAAATGTGAGGTGGTTTTCCATCACAGCACCTCTTATTACTGGAGTTGAAGAACAAAATATTTAAATTGTATTAATCCTATCTACAAGGAAATTCTCCTGTCTTTGCAGCCACAACCACGTGGGAGCCCTGAATTTGAAGAGAAGAAAAATTCCTAAGCTTATTTTTAAACTAATATAATTTGATTTTAAGACCAAGTTGCCACCACACTTTGACATGACACATTCTACTTTAAAGTCACATTAAATTTTGCATTAGAGGAAATAAGATATAATGCATTTGAGAAGAAGGAAACACATGGTATTTGCCATCTATCTGTGTGATATACTAGGCCCCTTCTTTAATCCTTCTCCAAACAGATTTCACTGCTGTGATTCAAGAATTAATAATTGGTCTGCATTGCAATTTGAGGGATTTGGGTTAAGACCTGGATGTATTCATGTCTGAACAACACTATACGAATTTCTAATACAATACAGAACTTGCATTTGAATAGCCTTGGCCCCAAAGAGCCTTAGGATCACACAAACTATAATGGAATAACTTTATTTTCAATTAAATTATGACAATAAGATAACAGCTCACAAATATATGGCTCCTATATTTCTGAATGTTGAACTGCTTCAGAAACTTCACTTACCATGTAACTTAAACTAACCAACCAAATCGATTCAACCATTCTCTGACATATTTAACATCATGCAACTGTATATTTAAGACAAGGAGTCGAGAAATAACACCTAGCAAAAAGAAACTCCAGAACGAATATTAGGGAAAATCTAATTCAGATCTGTAATAATGACTATTCATGCAAATGGACCCTTTTTTCCCAACGGATCTCTGAAAAAGTCACAGCACAAGCTGACAAGGTGCTGAGGATTGTGTAGCTAATTAGGGAGCTGCAGGTCACACCTCCTCCTTTGTTACAGCTGGGGAGGGTGTGCATTGGGTGAGACACGGGGATGAAGGAGGAAATTGATCAGTCTGCAGTGAGAGCAGGTGACTGCCAGCCTGGAGAAGCAGATTTCCACCTCTGTGACAGAAATCCTGTAGGATGCTTGGGAAGCTCCCTGCAACCAAATCTCCTGTATTGGAAAACTGTATGTGCCGTTTTCTGCATGGAGTAACTACATTAGTGCCAAAGTTTCCTAGCTTCTGTATCCTAAACCTTGTGTGTATTCTTAGATTTCTTTTTTCTTTCTATGTTTTTAATAATAATTTAATAATTATTAACAAAACACCCTCCAAATCTCTTGAAAACAAGGTTTCCCATCATACTGCTTTTGGTCAATTAGCAGTGCTACCAACCATTCCCTGCTCAATGTATATTCCATGTGAGCCACAGAGAGAAGAGGTGTCAGAAGGGGAATGAGAGAAAAGAACAAGATGTGGTCAGAGTAGGGGAAGGCAGGAAAGAAGAGTCAGGTGAGGACAAGATGGGAGCAAACAGGCAGAGAATCACTTCTGAAATGGGGACTCAGTAGAGGAGGGTCTGTGAGCACTGATGGCTTTCTCAAGGCTCAACCTGCTTTTGCTCTTAGCTAAAATCCACAGGCAAAGTGCTTGTCTCATCCCCACCTCAGAGCTGGCCCATGCCCAGAGAGGGAGCCTGCTGCTTCTATTCGTTATTAACTCAACAAGCAGAGATCTCAGCACTGAACATTAAAGTTCAGCCCTTTTATGATCCACGTTGAAATCCAAAGGCTCAGTGTGATAGGACTACTGCTCCTTTCAGAGCCAAGCCAAACAGAATAGGTGGCTTTAACAAAATCCAGTAAGTCATTTCACCAATTATTGCCACCCTCACCTTAGAGGAGTCCAGATTTGTGCCACTGGCTCAAGGGACCACATAGCCAGGAAAGTCTGCAGCAGGGTCAGAGCAGTTCTGAGCAGCATTGCTATTGGGTAAGATATGCAGTTCTAGTCCTATGTTAATCTTCCTAATTCATGTCTTTGATCATTTGAGCTGGCTCAAGTCTCCCAGACTAAACAAAGAACATTCAGAGCTCTCTTCCCAAGAGTTGCTTGGCATTTTTTAGCATAGGGACTTAATAGTCAGGGGCAGGTTGTCAGGAGTGATGAGTATCCATCAAATTTACTGACTCCAGGAAGACTTACTGTTCTCAACACCTTTTTAAATATCAGGGTTGCCTAAATCAGACTGTCCTCTGGTTTTGTCTTGCTGCCTCTCAGTATCCCTTTCCTCTGTAGGTGGATGGATTACACATTAAGGTTTCAGTAATGAAGTCTTCATTGATTTATGCTCCTATTACACTGGGTTGTTTATTTTAACTGATTGGATTGTGGGTTCCTAAGCCATTAACACAAATAGTGATGACATAAGATATCCTCTGACTTTCCATGCACTTTATCCAGGGACTCAGGCAAACAAAGAACTTGAGGGAACATGAAAGATCAACCTTTAAAATGTGAAAATTAAAGCTGGGTGATATTGCCAAATATTTTACCTGAGTGTTTACTGTTGATATTTTAACACTGATATTCTGTGTTGGTGCCTCATTGCTTGTCTTCCTCCTGCACCCTACTGAAGGAGTTGGATGACTTGTGTTGGCTGAAACAGTGGATAAAACCCCAGTCCCATTACAAAATCTAACATATGTCCCACTAACTTTAGTGGCACCACTGAATAATACAGGCTTCTGCAGAACAGCACAGCTTCTATTTATAATAGCAAGACAACACAGAAGAAAACAACCTTGAAGTTGCTATTGTCTTGCTAGATGACAACTTGCCTCTAGAAAAGAAACAACTCAGATTTTGATTAATTAGCTTCAGGTTTTCAAAGTCATCAAATATATTTGGACATTGAAATCCATTAGAATTGATTGTTTAAATTAATACACATAACAAACTCTTTGTGGATGAATGCCAACATATTCATTCATAAAAAATATTCAGTAAATCTTTTTGAACAGTAAGTACAAATGAGAAAATCACAACTTGTGCCTGATCTAAAAAAGATGAATAGAGTAATTTCTTTAATGCAAATTTCTTACCCAGCTCTGGTAAAAATAAACACATTAGTTATTTTTATTGAAAGAGATGTTTGATGGTTTAAGAACAAACCACAACCAAAAAGAGGAGAAAAGTAAAATTCCTCTTGCTAAGTATTTTCCATTCCTGCTAGCACTTACAAATGCTAGATATAGATTCTACATGTGCACAGACTAATGAAGATGCATTTGTTGTATATGGGTGGAATAAGAGCAGACAAAAGTTCCTAGAGGCTTAAGTTAGATTACAAAATCGCTGACCTCCTGCAGGATTTCACTAAAAGGATTTAAAGTTAGAGCCAAATTGTTACCTATTAAAAACAGCCTTTCACAGCTTTTGGCTGGACAAAGGCTAAAGTAGCAAAAACATCACTTTAAATATCAAGTATGGCTGTATTTTTTGGTCAGAGCCCCTCATCTCTCTCAGCCGTACCCCAGCAAAGCATCCTGTATTCCTCACCCAACCAGGAGTATCACAAGGATGAGCTCAGATGCATTTAATCAGCTCCTGGCTGAGAGCTCCTCTCCGAGCTTTTTCTGGGAATTAATCCCTGAAACACTGGGGTTAGCTTGGCAGAAGCTCCTCAGAGATAAACAGCAGGAGGATGGAGAAAGCCAGGAATAAAAAAATACCCCAGCACATCATCATTGATACGTTACAGGCAGCAAGTGATTAACTGGTGACATTGGGCTTGGAGGACAACAGCTCGATCCCAACATTTCTGACTGGCAGCTCAGGTTATTTCACTGGCCCACGATTAAGCAGGGAACAGCTCCTGTCTCCTTGTTCTGCTCCTGGGAACATGCCAAAACCAGCTGTTATTTACTCAAGACAAGATTATAAAATTGCTACTAAGCCACAGTAACAGGTAACCTCAGGGAAGTCTCTGGGGATGTTTTCCACAAGACTCAGGAACCCAACAGGGGTGGGATTTTTTTGTGTCCTGCCTGGAGGATAGCAGCCATCAGTGCCATTCCCCTTCCAGCACTGCCTTCAAACAAAAACTTCCCATAAACTCAGTCTTTTGGGCTTTTGTGTTTTTTGCCCAAAGGCAAGTATTTCCCTGGATGAGACACACAACCTACTGAGAGGGTTTGTTGGGAGTCTGAGCATTAATGCTGAAAAAAGGAGGACGCCCAGAAGGAAATCAAACAGCATTAATTTGTGCTGCACGAGGTTTGCTAATAAATATTTTATTTGGGGGAAGAAATACAAAGCAGTTATTCCAATCACAAAAATAATGAATGCAAAATGAAAGAAGTCGTTCTTGCAAGACAACGCGGAACATGGTTTCCACCAATACATCTTTTAAATTAATTGTTGAATTGTCTCACAAAGCTGTGTGACTGCTTAGGAAAAATCTCCCAAACAAACAACAAAACAAAATGGTCTAATTTTAAAGAAAAGGTACGGCTGCACTGAGCTAAAAAACTTCCAGACTGTTTGAGTCTTTTTTAGTGAGACTAAGGAATTGGATATCCAGTTCCAGGGTTTGTTTGTTTATTTGTTTGTTTGTTTTAAAATAGCCTGTTTCTAAATACGGAAGCAGGGTTTGACCTGTCCAAAATATATCCTCCTCTCTTCTCTTTCCCTTAATAAATTTGCTCACACAAATAGCAGTCAGCAGCCCAACTGCCTGTGTAATGAGACTTTCATCTGCAAGTCAGATT